GATATGAATCGTGTGCATAACAACAAATATATTATTAAGATGTGTTTAGAATTGATGTTATTTGATTTAGAAATGTATCATGACCTAAATTTCTCGGATTGTGACCTTTCCATTCATTTGTGACCGAACTTTCATTTCATTTTAGCATGAATCCTTATGTAATGTATTGACAACCAGAAGCTGTGATTAGATTCGTTATATATGTGACTTCGATTGACCTGATTGTCTACCATGTTTATGTGACATGTAATCGTGTACCAATTTTTTCAAGTACAAACCAATTAATTAAATTTCATTCCTAATAAATTGTTTTATGTCATTCTTGAGCCACAATTATGGCATCTTTGTGTAAATACGCTGAAACATGATTCACAATGATATATCATCTTCAGCCACAATGAGGTTTGATACTAGCAGAGCTAGGCTAGATATAGCCGCATTAATCTTTAAACATCGGGAGATTAAGGAGACCACAAACCGAGTGAAGAAAAAAGGAGAGGGGATTGTAATAGAGTGAGTTGAAAATCATTTTGAACATCAATTTGACGAAGAGATTTGTGATGTTTATAAATACTAACCTCATGTTCTTTTTCCTTTTTAATATTGTGCGCAATGAAACTAATTGTAATGAATATGAAATTGTGGTTGTTCATTCTGATGTTGAAATTTTTTTTAGTTTTGCATTTCGGCAGATGTTTGAATTGCTAAAGTCTACTAGTGACATGTTTCATTTGCACAAGTTAAATTTGCATTTACTACATGTCACAAGTTTCAAGTACCATTTCACAAGTCACATATTATTGTCAGCGAGTCATAGATTATATTACACATGTCACAAATTACAGTGCATTGGTCACATACTACATTGAACAGGTCACATGTTATACTACACAAATTACACTGCATAGGCTATTGCCACATGTTACTCTAATAGGTCACATGTCACACATTACCGATTCAAGTTCACAAGTCACATATTACATTTCACATTTCACAAGACACATTACACTTCACAGATTATATTTCATAGGTCACATGATATTAATTGAAGGTCATAGACCAATTACCAGTGTAACAGATTAAATATAGCTGTCCATATGTGTTTGTAAAGTGATAACAGGTCACAAATTCATATCCACAGTTCATAGTTTACAAGTAACGTGCAACACTGCAAAGGCCACAAATCATAGGCACAAGTCGCAGGACAATAGTTACATGTCACAGATTCATTTGCACATGTTATAGATTAAAATTATATTTCAATATGCATGTGTTATAAACTTCATAAGTCAAATATTTGTAAATTCTCATAATAATGTCACAACGTTATACAAATATTAATTTAATGAATCTCCATGTACAATTACGTGATATACCAAGCAACACCTACAACCAATGAATGAAATATTAAAAAGAACCTCAAAAATAAGTGATCTAACTATGGTCGAAGTGTATCATGAGTTAACTTTCTATTATTTTTATTTTTATTTTTTGCTTGATTTTGGCTTAACAGAACCAAGCTACTGCAAGTTCTGTGGTTGTGACAATTTCCTCCAAAGTATTCACGTTGACAATTGGTTTCCCAACTTTATATTAAAATTGTATAGTTGCTATTTTACCCTTTTAAAAATTGGTCAAAATTTACAATTATGATCAACTAATGACCAGGTGCAAATTTTTAAAAATTCGATACTATGGGTGTTACATATCATAGATCAAATCCGCGATAGAATAAAAGGTTTGATGCGGCCATTGTAATTATCCCTTAAAATTAATTATTAACACTGATTTAGATTTTTGTCAAATTTTAAAGTTAAATCAAACAGAGATTTTTTTTCGTGGAAGAAAACTGGAAAATATTGAGGGTCTCCTTTATACAGTGTAATAAAAATAACAGAAATGTGTTAGCCTGTCCCTTTTAAAAATAAAATAATATTATGCATCTAAGTTTTTCTGATATAATGTCGCAATCCCGATTTGCTGTCATTGATTAGTTACTAATTAACACGAGAAATCATTTGCTCTTGTATTTTAATCATCAATTTGCATTGACTAATGAAAACTGACAACCACTATTGTATGATTATTTTTCCTCGTTTTTCTACTCAATTGCTTACTGGATTTGATTGGTAATTTGAAGCCGTAGGTTTTGAAATGTTGAGGGATCCTCCAAGTTTCAAAAGATTCCATAATTTAATCTTAAAATAAACACCTTTTAAATTGACAAATAATGTTGACCAATATTTTACCTTAGCATGTACAAAATATTTGGG